ATATATTTATTCACGTATTTATCAACGTGTCCAATTTTCTCAATTAAAAGCAAGGATAAAAACCAGTTGTTGTTCGTATTCCAAACGGGAATTTTTCCTATACATATCACATTGTAAATCATTACATAAATGCAACAATGTAATAATTTGATGAAATCGTACAATTACCTATTCAATGTTTCGTCATCCATGTTCGTTTTGTCGCAAATTGTTATTTTTAAATTCTCTGAAAGAAACAAATGAAATTATTGCATAAATATTACAAAATACTCGCGATTGCGCGTACGTTGATTATGTTACAACAAATATGACAATGCCTGTCCTACCGAAAAAAAAATCATGTCACACACAGTTGATGAAATCATGTGATTAAAATATGTAAATCATGTAATGATTTATTGATGAATTGTTTCAAATCAGTACATGATTTTTTTTAAATTATGTAATTTGAAAAGTCGCACATGATGATATGTTCTTTTTTCTTCTATTTCTGTTATTCAATTCTTTAAAATTTGACAACTATAAAATCACATGATGAATAAAATTATTTCTAATATCATGTAATTTTTCAAATTACGTCAATTTAAAAAATCGCGTACTGATTTGGAACAATTTGTTATGCGATTTATATATTTTAATTACATGATTTCATCATATAACTTGTGACATATTTTTTTTCAGTAGGATGGCGATTTACAGTTTTTCTAATCAAACATCACGTAGCATCGAGTCATTTCAATTTCCCAAAAATTGTCAATTTTGTCATAGAAGATCGCATAAAATTGGTGATATTTACAATAAAGTTCACAACAACTGATGATGTGGTCATTTTTCACAGCTGATTGATGTTCATTTCTACCAACATAGATTAACTTTAATCTCTGTTCAACTTACTCTTTGTTTTTTTTTAATCTTTAGAAAAAGAAACTAGAATTGAACGAGATTAAAGTTAATCTACATTGTTGGAAATGGGCATGAGTCACGAAAATGTTTGATCTATGGCCGTATTCGTTTCTTTTATAATTTAAATAATATTTAAAAATGTTAGAATTGTATTAAACTAATTAGAGAAACTGTATTAACATTTAAAGATCTTACTTAAGACAATCTTAAAATAAAAAATAACTGACTACGTATGAATATCGGCCTGATACTCGGGATTATTAGCCGTAGACGTATACGATTACAAGCAATAAATTATCAATATAATATAATAAATTATTGCTTTCTCATTATATGACACAAAAATTGCATGGAAAGTTCGAGCTTACTAAATAGTGCAACGTTAATTATCGCAATCCATTAAATTGATTCTTTGAAATGGAATACCAACAATTTGATGACGTTGTTTGTAAATTATCTCTTAATTAGATTATGGATGAGATGGCAGGAAAAATACGTTTGATTTGTGCAGTCAATGCGGAGTCACTTCTCTCTTTTTCTCTTTGAGACTCGAAGATATTATCTTTATTTCACTTTCAAGGCGTGTTGAACAAATTGAACTATACCTCGAGGTTCGAGGATTTCGAGGTGGGCACAGACTTTGGACATATGTAGAAGGGAATTTTGCTGTGCAGAGCGACGCGACACGTATAGACACCACAGACTAGGCGTGTGAATAAACAATTATTATCTGGTTATCGTCTATGGTAGGCTCTTGGTGCCGGTCAAAGTGTCATTCTCCTGGTCGTTAGCCTGACAAAGAAAGATGGAAATATCAACGAAAGTGATCGCGGAGCTTCGCGAGAAGTTTTTCAAAAAATTGGAGGAGGAAGGACCACCTGATTCCAGTATGTACATATTACCTTCTCTGTTTTTCAATGAAATGATTTTTGGTATTATAATGTTATTTGAATGTGTCATAAAGATGCTCATGTAACATGTGCAAAGGTCGTATTCCGTCGCGATCGTATATTCAATTAAAAATGATTAGCAGCCCACTTGACTCTAACAAAGACATGGATGATTAAAAACTCTTGTTTCCTGTTATTGTATTAATTACTTATATAGAACCATAAAATGCTAAAGAAAATTATAGTTGTTTTTTCATTTAGAATCTATTCCTATCTGGATTTGATTAATAATTATTCATAGGAAGTTTCCATGCTGCTGATATAGCCAGGATAAAAAACAATGATAATTGGCTGAAACGATTTTTGGAACATCATGAGTTTAACGAACAGGATGCATTCAACATGCTTTGGGAAACTTGTACTTGGAGAAGAAAATTTGGAACAAATGGTAAAACTATGCCTGTGAATTTTATGTTTGACATTTTCAGTTTTTATTATTCTCTATGAGATATTAACATTTTAGATTAAAATTGATAAAAGTTGTTTTGACAACACATAGTCTACACATATCTTAATTTGAATATAGCGTAAGTTTAATTTTTTCGATAAGTATATAGGCTTATAAACATTCTTAATAGTAATTAAATAAAGTATTTAGTGTTGAATTATTCATTCATGAAATGAAAAGTACTCGATACTGAAAGTATAAAGACTTAAAGTTAATAGAATAATGTAAAACAAAATATCTTTCTTTCTCTTCTTTCATTCTAAATCGAATTACAGATATCACCGAGGATAATGTTAGGAGAGATTATTTAGAAGATGGTGTAATCTTTAGCTATAGTAAGGATAAAGATGGCAAAAAACTTTTTGTAATTAAGTCAAAGTTGCATGTTAAAGGAGTAAAAGATTTTGCAGAGCTTCAGAGATGTATAGTTTATTGGTTCGAAAGATTAGAAAGGTATTGTTACACTTATTAATTTCCTTATCTTTTTTTTATGCAAAGAATTATAAGAGACATTAATATATTCGTACCTTATATACTCTATGGATGTAATTTTTTATTTATTGTATTTCAGAGAAGAAAATGGAAATCA